CAACCACGGGATCAGAGATGGCGAGGGCTGCGAGCTGGTCTCTAGTCCCAACCCACTTCTTCAGGAGGTTGATGTGGTAGAGCTGCTCGGCTCTCCTCCTTCCGGGCTGACACACACGGTAAGTCACCGGCCCAATCTTCTCCAGCACCGTATAGGGACCCTGCCAGGTGGCCAGGAACTTGCACGCAGCGTTGGGGACTAGGACCATGACTCGGTCTCCGGGCTGGAACTCCCGTGGTTGGGTTGCCCGGTTGTAGTGGCGCTGTTGAGCCTGCTGCGCTTTGGTTAAGTGTTCCCGGACTAATGGCATGACCTGGTCGATCCTTTCCCTCATCTGTTTCACGTGCTCGATCACAGAGCGATGGACTGCCGGCTGTTGCTCCCAGGCTTCCTTTGCCACATCCAGGAGGCTGCAGGGTTGCCGGCCAAAGAGGAGCTTGAAGGGGGTGAAGCCAGTTGAGGCCTGCGGAACTTCGCGGATCCCGAAGAGGACATAGGGGAGCATCAGGTCCCAGTCACGTTTGTCCTCCGCGACCCCCCATCTCAACATCTGCTTGAGCGTTTGATTGAAGCGTTCGACCAGTCCGTCGGTCTGGGGATGGTAGACTGTGGTCCTCAACTGCTTCACCTGCAACAGCCGGCAGAGGTCAGCCATTAGCCGGGACATAAAGGGGGTACCCTGGTCAGTCAGGATCTACGCTGGGATGCCGACTCGGCTGGAGCTCCTGGGCAATGGCTTTGGTGGTGGCTTTTCGGAGGGGCACTGCCTTGGGGTACCGAGTGGCATAGTCGACAATCACCAGGATGTGTTCATGTCCCCGGGCAGACTTAGGCAAGGACCTGGGTCCAGCCATGCTTCAGCCTGTTGTCCTCTCGTTGTTCCCAAATGAGCCCCCTCCCGTCACCTGTTGGAACACATCATAGAAGAGATTGGGATTTTGGGAGGGGGACTCACCTTCTCTCCCGCTATCTGAGACCAGAAGCACGGGCCGCTGACGAGGTCCTGTCATGGGCCTCCTTCTTCGGCGGCCCCCTCCTGGGCTGGCAGGCTGCGGAGCCGTAGCCAGCAGGCGGTCAAACCCTGGCCAGTCTCTCCCGATCAGCACGGGGACAGGAAGATCCTTCATGACCCCGACTTCCACCGGCCAGGCACCGGGAGCGGCCGAAATGGTCACCCTGCGAGCAGGAACTTGTCGTGTATCCCCGTGGACACAGGTTATGGGAAGGAAGGCTTTATACTCCGTTCGGGGGGCGAGAATATGGCGACTGGACCAGAGTGACCGCACTGCCCGAGTCCAGGATGGCCCGGAACGGCTTTCCATTAACTTTCACTTCCACCTCTGGAGCTCCAACCGGCAGGTCGCGGTGCACAATGCAGCCTGCCAGCCAGGTCCGTGCGGGACGTGGAGGGACTTCCGTTGGCATGGGCTCATCCCGCGGAGAGGGAGCCACCGGCCTGTTTACTGGTCACAGGGTGCCCTCCGGCACGCGCCGCTCCTGGACCACCCTCCGGGGAAACGGCGGCGCTCGCTGGGGGGCGAGAATATGGCGACTGGACCAGAGTGACCGCACTGCCCGAGTCCAGGATGGCCCGGAACGGCTTTCCATTAACTTTCACTTCCACCTCTGGAGCTCCAACCGGCAGGTTGCGGTGCACAATGCAGCCTGCCAGCCAGGCCCGTGCGGGACGTGGAGGGACTTCCGTTGGCATGGGCTCATCCCGCGGAGAGGGAGCCACCGGCCTGCTTACTGGTCACAGGGTGCCCTCCGGCACGCGCCGCTCCTGGACCACCCTCCAGCAGCTAGTGCTGCGCGAGTCGCGTGAGTTCGGCGGCCTGGGCACGGGCAGGCAGACGGGGCTTATATTCCCTCTCGTGGAAGTGCTGGGTGGCACAGATAGGGGATCGCGGTGGTGGTTGGGTTCCTAATCCCAACTGCCTGTCGGTGAGATTGGGGAAGGGCTCGGAGGAGACGGTCGATCACCACGCGCTCCGCCACCTGTCCAGCCGATGGAGCCCCCTCCAGCAGCTAGTGCTGCGCGAGTCGCGTGAGTTCGGCGGCCTGGGCACGGGCAGGCAGACGGGGCTTATATTCCCTCTCGTGGAAGTGCTGGGTGGCACAGATAGGGGATAACCCCAGGCGGGCTAGGTGGTGAGTGTGCACGCTGAACACTTTGTGCACTTTCTAAAATCCACATAGTGATAAGTGGGCACGCTGAGCACTTTGCGCACTTTCTAAAATCCACATAGAGGTAAGTGTGCACGTTATACTTTGCGCACTTTTCTGAAATCCTGTATGGTAAGGGTTACGCGTTTTTAGCCTCGTTCCTTTTCTCTGAGTTGGCTTAGACCCCAGTACTCGCCTTGGGCTCCACTCAACTAGTTTGTCTCTGTTGAAACACTTTTAAAGCATTGCTCCCCTCACTGTTGAGGGTTATTTGTGAGCATGGTGCTTTCTTCCGAGCGTTCGAGTTCTCTCCCCTTTTTGAGGAGTTGAATTCCTCACTCCGTGGGCTGTTCTCATGGTGGTGTTTAGCAGTGCTCCCCTCCATCAGAGGGTTACCTATGAGCATGCTATTCCTTTCTGAATTCGGAGTTCTCCTCTCACGTGGAGAGTTGCGCACTTTCTAAAATCCACATAGAGGTAAGTGTGCACGTTATACTTTGCGCACTTTTCTGAAATCCTGTATGGTAAGGGTTACGCGTTTTTAGCCTCGTTCCTTTTCTCTGATTTGGTTTAGACCCCGGTACCTTGGGCTCCACTCAACCAGTGTGTCCACTTTTGAAGCATTGCTCCCCTCACCATTGAGGGTTATTGTGAGCATGGTGCTTTCTTGTTAATAAAATAACATCATCCTCCAGTGGCTCACTCTAGTCCACAGCCGACGAGCGCAAGAGGGAAAGCCCCTCTTTAAACTCATCGACCAGATCCAACTGCGATCCCCACAAGCTCATTCTTCTCCGTGCCTCAGCAGCGGTGGGTCCTGAACCGCGGGAAGCAGATGGGTGCCCCTCTTTCCTCGAAAAGAGAGACAAACGAGAGCGGAGTTTTTTCATTCAAGGACATCGTGGCGTGCTCTTCGCCCAAACAAACAACGCATAGATCGTGTGTGTCATTTGGTGTCAAATAACGACGACATGGATACACACATCCTCTAAATGCTTTGCTAGTGCTTGCCATAATGATATGAATAAAGATCGCTCATACCACGGAAATGCACGCTTCAAACAAAACAGTCAGTGAAGACGAAGAAGAGGATGATGTGTTCTCCCGGCGCCTATTTATACTATATACTATATTTATACCGGTAGTGACATCATGGCTGTCGCCGGGCCAACGTGTTGTTGGTGTTTTTTCAATGTATGCTTCAGACGGGGGTCACGATGAGGTGTTCCCCATAGCGACCCCTAGAGGACGCAGTTCGAAGTTCCCTTGAAAGGGAACAAACACCTTGATAACACAACTGATAATAATCATAATTTGATAAATGAAGACTATAGGTTTAAGGTGTACTTTAAATGTTTTGTTACTAGTAAAGCCCTTGTGTGTGCAAGCATGTATTCTGTGAAATGTTCTGCAGTCAGGGAAGTATTTAGGAATGCTTTAAAAAACTACATAATCAGACTGAATTTATTGTGCTTTGATGACATAAAGTCTATGACAGGTGCAGTCATAAAAAAAAAAAAACTACAGTCCCAACACTGATAAATAGAGTTAGAGAAGGAAATGTTTCGATGAGAGTTTACCGGCATCTTAGTCAGAGATTCTAGGTCACTAGGCTGTTAAACTATTTCATCTATTGTTTGGCTGTCTCACAAGTGACATTTATTGATTTCCGAAATGTCGGAAAAATAAAAGATCATTATAGTAATACACAATACCAGTCAGTTTTGACACTTGCAATTGAATTTGTTAATCATGGTCTTAAATACATTTTCTCTAAAAGTCTTGCCTTAATGTTTGAATTAGCTTTGTGGACCATATAAATTGTGTGTATGAATAATTATGAATTTTTTTATACAACTAATATTTTTTTATAAATATTGTTTTATTATTTGAGAGAATGTCCAGAGCTGAAATCTAAAAGCAGAATAGTTACAATATAAAATAGTTTTGATATGTTTAGCATTTGGTCACTGCATAATTCCCATTCTTCCATTTAATGTTTTTTTTTTTTTTTTTTTGAATGAGCATTATTTTAAAATGTGGAAAATAGCTGTAATAAAGAATGAGCCAGTATGAGTCAGTGTGTCCACCCTTTTGACTAGTCAAACATTTGATCTCATGGTGAATTTTATGAACTTGAATATCACATATATATTTATAGATACCATTTCAATTTTTTATATATCATGCTTTGTCAGCCATCATATCAACGTTCATTTAATTTGTTTAATTTTATTTATTTTAAAACATTTAATTATATAATATGAATTATACAGGTTATAATATGACATACTGCAATATATGCAGTGCTATGAGGTATTAAACAGTTCACTCAAAAATAAAATAATTCTGTCATCATTTACCCTCATGTTGTTTCAAACCTGTATAACCTGTATTTCTTTCTTCTGCTGATCACAAAAGAAGATATTTTGAAGAACATTGGGAACCAAACAACGTGGGAGCCCATTGTCCTCAACTGTAATCACGGAGACATTTCTCAAAATATCTTCTATTATGTTCCACAGAAGAAAGAAAAACATACAGTTTTGGAATGACATTAGGGTGAATAAATTATGACAAATCTATTGTCCTTGCATTCCTGTAATGTACAGTAACGAGAAGTAGATAAGTGTCAGACTGTCACCTAAAATAAATCAATAAAACAAACAACACGTATAGTAAGTGCACTTGTGAAAAGGAAGAAGGAAGTAAATCTGTAGCCCCACCTGAGACTCCACCAGTGATGCTTAACAGAGTGAGGATGAGGGATGGTTTAAAAGCAGTCCACTCCATCACACAGTACAACACACTCAGAGCCTTGAGTCCAGAACCAGAGAGACAGAGACCTGTTACTCAGGTGAGAAATGCAATGTCTGAAACATCTCTTTAAATGGCTTCTTTTATTTTCTCCAAGTTTAATTACACTAATTGTTAAACTGTGATTCTGTGATTTAAAAACTGCTAAGTTAGATAACAATGTTGTTTTATGTTGCAGTCATCTTATTTAAAAAGTTCATTATTTTTGTTTATATATATATATATATTACTTTAGTGTAGAGTAATTTACCTTCAAAAATTGTTGAAATGCATAAAACAGTGCAATTTGTCATGACCATATTGTCTTTTATGTGCTCACTCTAAATGTCTCAATGTGTTTCAGAGATGAATCTTCACACTTTTTTTTTTGTGGTGGGATGCTGTTGTGCCCTTTCATTGGGTGGTAAGTTTACCAATTGATCATGCAATTGAAAATTAAACTGCTAATGATTAACAATTAAGGATTGATAACATCAAAACACATGTAAAAGTTTTTTTTTCTGGTGCAAGAAATTCAGTCTTGTACTTTCAGTAATTTAAGCTGTTCATCTGGTGTAACATCCATCTTGGGTGATCTAGTTTCACTTTTTTGTAAATCAAGAAAATAAAACGCTAAATAAAACAAATTAATACAAGGCATAAATGTCTTAGACTGAGGGAAGTTACAGCCTTCACTAGAATTAGTAAATATTAGCCTTTCTAGGGCTAGCTCATGATGTAATACGGTTTTCTTTTTTTTAGCAGAAGAAGAGAGTCCTGGGAGACGTTTCATTCTAGATTCAATTGAGGAGGCAAAGAAAATTGTGGATGCTGCTTACAAGTATTCTCGAGATGAGTGAGTAACGTTTTTAAGAATGTTGCCCAATATTCCTGTTCTGTCATCCCAGTCATTGATCTATTTATTTTTATAAATCTCCCCACTTCCAGGAGTTTAGCAAGGGTGCGCAGAGATGACATCAAGCCTTCCGACAAGCTACGTCTACTGAAACAGCCAGCTCGAAAGACACGAGAGGCAGTGAGAGCCGCAGACTACATGGTGCAGACACTCAGGCTGATCAGTGAGAAAGCCCATCATGTACACAAGAGGTCCATCAATGCTACAAGTATGATAACAACCAGTTGCAAATCTTGCAAAGCTCAGATCAGATCTATTACTGTCTGATGTTTTATGCTCAAGACTGTCAATATGTGTTTTCTCCTAGACCTGCTGACTCTAGACGAGCTGAACACCATTGAACGTCTGACAGGCTGTACAGCTCAAACCCGGCCCCCATCTTGTAGGACCACACCCCTCATAAACAAATATCGAACTATCACCAATGTCTGCAACAACCGGTCAGTCTTTTCTTTCTTATACTGGGCAGTCTTTTTCAAAGACTCACTATTTGTCAAGCTAAACAACTAAATTTATAATTGCCAGGAGGAACCCACTCCTTGGTGCATCCAACACCGCTTTTGCCCGCTGGTTGCCTGCTCACTATGAAGATGGCATCTCCCTGCCCAATGGGTGGGATCCCAACAGATTGCACAATGGTGCAACGCTGCCCCTGGTATGATGGAGATTATGAATAGTTTAATTAAGATTACTTGACAATCAATGAGGCCACCAATCAATTAACAGTGTCTGTATTCTGTCTTTCTCATTGATTGCAGGTCAGATTGGTTTCAAATCGTATTCTAAGCACTGCAGATGCTGACATAGAGAGTGACCACGAATTTACTTTCATGCTCACAATCTTTGGGCAATGGGTTGACCATGATCTGACTTTAACGCCCTTCTCACCAAGCATTAGATCCTTCAGCAGTGGCCTCAACTGTGATGAGAGCTGTGAGCGCTCTGAACCCTGCTTCCCAATTCCGGTCAGTCAAGGACTGTCCCTCTGTCAAGGATTGTCCTACTCTCGTTCTCATATAATAACAGTTTTTAACGTTATATTTCATGTATAAACACAGGCCCCTCCAGGAGATCGACGCCTGAGTCCTGACACCTGTCTCCCTGTCTTCCGCTCGTCACCTGCCTGTGGTTCCGGGAACACTGCCTATATGTTTGGTGGGAACCCCAAAGTTCGGGAACAGATCAATGCTCTAACAGCTTTCCTAGATGCTGGACAGGTTTACGGGTCCGAGGATGGGCTAGCAAAGGAACTTCGAGATCTGACCAATGATGGTGGTCTTCTACGTGTCAATGATCAGTTCCTTGACAATGGACGAGAGCACCTGCCCTTTAGCAATTTAAAAAGCAAAATGTGTGCCACACGTCAGAAAATCCTTAATGACACAACCTTAACAGAGGTGCCTTGCTTTATTGCAGGTCAGTAACTTGTGCCTTCATAATGCAATTATCAGGCATATTTCTAGTTGTAATATATTAAATCAAACATCTAAAACGGGTCTCCAACCTTGCTCCTGGAGAGCCACCGTTCTGCAGATTTCATCTCCAACCCCAATCAAACACAACTCAACCGGCTAATCAAGGTGTTCAAGGCTACTTGATAATTACAGTCAGGTGTGTAGGAGTAGGGTTGGAACTGAAATCTACAGTACAGGACGGTAGCTCTCCAGGAGCAGGGTTGGAGATCCCTGATCTAAAATGTATGATGTATGCCTATTATTTGCACAACTCCATGTTTGCAAATGCTAATGAACTCTCAATGTGTGTAGGGGATGGTCGTGTTGATGAGAACACTGCGCTCACCTCAATACACACACTTTTCATGAGGGAGCACAATAGATTGGCTCGTGCCCTCCGTGTGCTCAACCCTACCTGGAGTAGCGAAACCCTCTATCAAGAGGCAAGAAAAATTGTGGGTGCCTACAACCAGGTAAAGATACCTAATTGAAAGCACATCAAGCACAAGCAGTTACATGTGGAGTACAACATATATGCATGAGCAACCTCTCCTTTCTCTTTTAGATCTTGGTGATTAAGGAATACTTGCCGCATATCGTGGGCCCTGATGCTTACAATAGACATCTCGGACTATATCCAGGTTATGATGAGAATGTGGACCCTACCATTGCGAACGTCTTTGCCACTGCAGCTTTCCGTTTTGCCCACCTGGCCATCCAACCCATCATATTTCGTCTTGATGAAAATTACCAGAACCATCCTCAATTTCCAAGTGTGCCCCTTTTCGAGGCCTTCTTTTCTCCTTGGAGAGTGATCTTTGAGGGTGAGTTTGTATGGCTTGTTGCAGCATACCTTTTGAATCCTAAATCTGCCACAACTTTTTCTCTATCTTATTTTACTTCTGCTATACATTTTGCTTAGGGGGCATTGATCCTCTGCTTCGTGGACTGATTGGTCGGCCAGCAAAACTGAATACACAGGACCACATGTTGGTGGATGCGCTTAGAGAGAGGCTGTTTGCCTTTACATCCCACATTGCTTTGGACTTGGCCGCCCTCAACATGCAAAGAAGCCGTGACCATGGTATACCAGGTAAATATTCTGGACTCATACCCAACACATGCACACCAAGCCTCAGAACACTTTAATTCCAATCATGTGAAGCCAACCCGACATAATGCTGCAATATCACTTCATGTGTTTTTAAGAGATGACTTACTGAGTATCCATCTGTTGTTCCTTTTAAGGCTATAATGCATGGCGTCGGTTCTGTGGACTCTCCACCCCTCAAAATGAGGAAGAATTGGGTGTGGTAATGAACAACACTGAATTGGCTCGCAGGTTGATTGAGCTTTATGGCACCCCTGAGAACATTGACATTTGGTTGGGAGGCGTTGCAGAGCCTTTTGTTCCTGGTGGTCGTGTTGGTCCTCTTTTTGCCTGCCTCATCTCTACACAGTTCCAACACATCCGCCAGGGGGACAGGTAAATATCTCTGTGTATTTAGTCCAGGGGTGTCCAAGCCTTCTCCTGGAGGGCCACTAACCTGCAGTGTTCAGCTCCAACCCTAATTAAACACACCTGAACCAGCTAATCAAGGTCTTCAGGAAACTTCTAGGCAGGTGTGTTGGGGCAGATTGGAACTAATCTCAATAGGACACTGCAGGAGCAGGCTTGGACACCTCTGATTTAGTATATGAGACTAGTATGTGTTTGAAAGGTGTTAATGTCAAGTGTCACATTGTGTTAAGGTTATGGTTTGAGAACTATGGAGTGTTCACCACCAGACAAAAGGCATCACTGGCCTCTGTTTCGCTAGCACGCATCATCTGTGACAACACCGGAATCCGCAGAGTTCCCTACGATCCTTTCCGCTTCACCAGTCCTGCCAGTTTTGTTAACTGTGGGGATATCCCAGCCTTTGATCTCACCCCTTGGATTGAAACCAGTAAGACACCAGAGCAAATAAGTTCTTAAATGCATATGTGCAGCATAGTCATACATAAGTCTTCTTTCTTTTACTGCAAATTTCTGCCAAAATTTCTTACTACCTTTATATGTGCTTGTAGAGTACCTAATTTTGGGTTGTATAGGCACATATCAGGTACTGAAATGTTTTTTACAATCTGTTCGCATGGTCACCATAATTTGGTTAAGCTGTAATTCGGTGTTTGACCTTTCAGGTAACAGTGGCATCCACAATTCAGACATTGGAAATGAGGTTAGACAAGTGTTTGTTTTCTCCTAAATGCAAGCAAAAAGAGCAAGTGATTTTGTTTTGCATATGACCTATAATTGAGTTTAAAATGACAATCAGTTCACTGCAAAATCTGTAAACCGGACAAAGCTTGAGTATCTTCTTTGGTCTTCTTTGCTGTACACTGGATTGGCGCAGTGACATATTAATACATTTAAATGTCACAAATATCAAGCAATATTTCATGACTGCACCTGAACTGCACCAAACCTTTGTAAGCTGTCTAGCCCTTCTTTCTGCCTTTTGCTTGCTTCAAGGGGATTTGCTTAGGTTTGGGGAATCTTTTACATTTAAATCTGTGATTGCAAACAGTTAGGCTTATAGTACAAGCATATAACATCTATTCATTACCTCTCAGATACAGAGTCCTTCCAAGGACCTCCCGGACCCAGAGGACCCCCAGGAAAACCTGGTAAGCCAGTCATATATCAAACATGCCCTCCAAATATTACTTAAAAAAATCACTTAAAGATTGTTTATCATTTATTCTAATATTTAATTTTTCCAGGTCCACAAGGTGTAGCAGGTCCCCCTGGACCTCCAGGACCTCCCATTAATACCACAGGACAACAGTCTGCCTTTTTTGCTTCTGTTGGCACCATCCTTCCTGTCACTGCTAAGGTTGTTGTGTTCAATCAGGTCCTTTACAATGGACAGAACCATTATAATCAAACATCCGGACAGTTCGTCTGCCAGATACCTGGTGTATATGAGTTCCAGTTCTCATGCCTAGCAACTCGGACATTGGGTACTGTCACCTTAAAGAAAAATGATGCTGTACAGCTAACTGCTGAAACAATCAACCTTAATACACGATCATTAGCTGAAGGGAGCGTGGTTCTGAACCTGCAGAGAGGAGACTCTGTGTGGGTAGAGGCTTCTCGGGGTGCTAATGGTATAGGCAGATCCAGCTATTTCTCTGGCCATATTCTTTTCCCTGTTTGAGACTATTGTTTATAATGCACTATTATTTTCCTTTTATATAGCTGTTGTTTTTAATATTATAAATGCAGTTGCATACAAATGCACATATTCTGGTGATAGGAATAGCTTAAAAAAAAGCCTATAAAATGCAAATAATAAATCTGCTATGTTTCCATAGTCATTTAACAAATTGATTTGTTACTGTATCTTTTAAGTAGGAGTCCTTTTCTGTTGTTGGTGGTGTTTGTTAACTATGCAAAATTAAGGATTCAGTTATACTTAGTCTTTGAATTTTTAATTGTTTAAAGCTAAATTCTTCATTTAGGAACATGGATGTAACTGATCATTGTTATTTCTTTTATGTACTGTATGTTGCTATTTGTTGTTTTTGGTTTCGTTGTTAGATTGCAACAAAATATTCTGTAGTCCATGGTGTGACAGTTATTTTTGTGTATGCTTTTAGCAAAGTGAAATAAATGAATGAATTTTCTGTATCATCAATTCATTATTTGCCTTGTTCTACTTCCTAAATCGTGAGTATGAATACACAACCAAAAGGGAAAATATTTAATACATAAAAGGTCCAAATTAAAGTTGTGACTTGTCAACACAAAACATATCAATAAAGATAAATAACTCTCAGTGGTTATGCTGTAAATCAGTATGCTTGTTACTACAGTGGAACGTGTCAGCAGCTGCAGCTTCAGCTCCTCCAGCATGCAGGTCTCTGCTAACCTGGCTTGATTTCGTGTGACAGGAATAGCATGGGGCAGCATTTCTTCACAAATGTTAACCATGTAGCACCACAGAAAACATTTTCACTTACAACATTAACTGAAAAGGGTTGTAGCAACATCATGACGATAGCAGGTTATGAACATAACCACACTACTCACAAGCTGTTGTGATTTCTTATGTTAATATATATTCATATAGCTAGAAACATGAGATAATGTGCTTGTTAATGTTTAATAAACTTATTCAACTTTACCTAATGATCAACAGATAATTAATGTAAATTACAATGCGTACAAATCTCATTAAACTTTTAAAATCTTAAGGTCATGCACTTCTTGAAAATCTACAAATTAAAAGCTTTTGTTAATGTACAACACTTTTGTTGCTATTGAGGTGTGATATGGGAAAGATTAGGGTTTGTAGATGGGTCAGTTTGATTACTGTAAGGGAACATGGTTCAATCTGTTTATATTACATTGTTTTAATAAATGAACAAGTATTTTCTTGAAAATTGAATTTGTTTTCTCCTGCTGAGTTTTCTCCCCGTTTAATTATATAGTATACTAATATATGTGTTGAGGCAATAAAAACATGTTTTGCACCCAATTTGCAATGTGTGTTACGTCTTTAAGAAGCATTTACATAAATTCGACTAACCACCCTTTACACTAATGTTGTTACAGCAGCTAAAAGACCAATGCCCATAAAGGTACTGAATGATTAGTAAACGTTTATAAACATTTACAAATGATGAATAGTTTCAACTTTAGAATGGCTGCTGAGTTTTCTCCCCGTTTAATTATATAGTATACTAATATACGTGTTGAGGCAATAAAAACATGTTTTGCACCCAATTTGCAATGTGTGTTACGTCTTTAAGAAGCATTTACATAAATTCGACTAACCACCCTTTACACTAATGTTGTTACAGCAGCTAAAAGACCAATGCCCATAAAGGTACTGAATGATTAGTAAACGTTTATAAACATTTACAAATGATGAATAGTTTCAACTTTAGAATGGGTATTGCAAAAACATGAACAAATCATCAATAAATGATTTGTTAAGATGTGTAAATAGTAGAAAACTACACAACAAATGGAGACTAAATATAGGACCTTCACAGACTGTGATTATGAGTTAATGAATAATATGTTAACATGAATAGTTCAGTGAATAGCAAAGAGCTTAAAATGACTAATTAAGCTATTTTCTTAATGATTTCTGTTAAAATCATTTGTAGATTTTTTTTAAAAAGTGCATGATCGTATGAATTGAAAGTTTAATTACATTTGTAAGTATTTTAATTTACATTAAATAATGATCTGTTAATCATTAGGTAATGTTTAATTAACTAAGTACATTAGTAAACATTAACAAGCACATTATCTCATAGCTATGTCAATATTAGCTAATGATCTGTGGAGTGTTCTGTGGAGTAACGTAACGCATTACTTTCCATAAAAAGTAACTAAGTAAAGTAATTAGTTACTTTTTTATGGAGTAACGCAATATTGTAATGCATTACTTTTAAACGTAACTTTCCCCAACACTGGTTATTTTACAACGAATGGGAAATGCTAATTCTCTTCTGGTTTCAGGATTACAAACGAAACAAATTTATGGACACTTTTCACCTTTTTGGTTTTAAAGGGAACATATTTATATTAAGAAAACTTTCCTGTTCTGGGAACGTTACTCTTAGGTTATAATAAAAGAAAATAACCAAATGGGAATCGAATGGAAACATTTGGGGAATGTCCTGTTTTTTGGTTCGGCCAAGTACATCCAGGATTTTCGCTTTCAGCCCACAATTTTCATTTCATTGCATCCCTATAACTAAACTGCAGCATAATAAACTTCTAGAAGACTATATTATTTTTGCATTCTCATTTGCTCTGAAAAAGAAAAATGCTCTGTTGTGTTTCCACAACTTTCCACAACGGATTACGGCAGTCAGAAGAGAGAAAGGTGTTAAAACTACAGTCATTCTCAGGAGCTGTAGGCTATAGAACAATTTTAAAATCATTGCATTAATTTTTGTTTGTTTGTTTATTTATGTATTTATTGTAATTTAATGCCAGGGTAATGACACAACGCAGATGCTAGTGTTATAAAAGCATTATTTAAAAAAAAAAACAGGGCAGTAATTAGTAGAGGCCTTAAAGATATCATATGATGCGATTTCAAGTATTCCTTTCTCTTTGGAGTGTTACAAGCTGATTGTGCATAGATAAGATCCCTGAAGTTGCAAAGACTAAAGTCTCAAAACCAAAGAGATATTCTTTATCAAAGTTAAGACTCTGCCACGCCCCCCTAAAACGGCTCTAAATCAGGAGAAATTAAATATAGACGGATTACGGCAGTCAGAAGAGAGAAAGGTGTTAAAACTACAGTCATTCTCAGGAGCTGTAGGCTATAGAACAATTTTAAAATCATTGCATTAATTTTTGTTTGTTTGTTTATTTATGTATTTATTGTAATTTAATGCCAGGGTAATGACACAACGCAGATGCTAGTGTTATAAAAGCATTATTTAAAAAAAAAAACAGGGCAGTAATTAGTAGAGGCCTTAAAGATATCATATGATGCGATTTCAAGTATTCCTTTCTCTTTGGAGTGTTACAAGCTGATTGTGCATAGATAAGATCCCTGAAGTTGCAAAGACTAAAGTCTCAAAACCAAAGAGATATTCTTTATCAAAGACCTAAGAGCATATTAGAATAATATCCTTTTAAAATTAACTACATGTTTAGGGTTAAGATACTGTATTTTTTTAGTATCACAAATATAATTTATTCCCACCCCATAAAAATTGCTTATGTGGCCCAGTTGCATTAAAACACAATACACTACTGTGTCTATATATAGAGATAGATAGATTATTTTACTTGTCTTGCAAGTAATCTGTTTTGTAATTTGTGTTTCTGAATGCTGCTGTCCAAATTCAGGATCCCTAAAATAATGTAGGAATAGGATTTCAGTTCACAAACGTAAAGAACAAAGTACGGGATATTAGATATTTTCAAACATGAAATGTTTTTAAAAGTCAGTGATTTGAAAAGTGTTCATGAGCAAGATGCTGGATGATGATAGTTACAGAACTTTGCCAGCAGGTGGCGCTAGGACTACACTATAGTGAAAAGTGACAGTGTTTGGAACAGCATACTACTATATTACTCTCACTATTGCTGCAGTCAATAACATGTATACTGCAAACAGTATGCAAATGTCTTTTCTAGTGCGATGGAAGAGATGTTTATAAAGCAGCAAATTTTTTTTTGCATCATACTCTTATAAATTACAACATTTTTACATAAAATTGCGTTAAAAATATTTCCAACTCAACTTTGCTTGCTGAATTGCACATGCATCATGATGAGGTCATATGACAAGTACAGATTAATTAATAATTCTATACCCATTAAAAGACACTGTATTTGAATATTTACATTGGGCCTGCATGTATGTGTTCCTCATCAGGAGACTTTTATCTCTTTAGACAATACATTTTAATACTGCTTTGGAAATATTTGTATATATATATATATTGTCTGTATTATTTAGCTAATTCTACTTTCACAATATTATTTTGTCCCCATTGTCTATATTTGTATTAATAGCCATTCAGACTAAACTCTCTTTCTTCTGCTGCTTTCAATCAAACAATTACAATATCACGCTATTATGAGAAAAAAAAGATACAAACAAGGCCAGACTACAAAACCACTGATGTTCAGAAGAATGTCTGTGGAAATCTAATGTTTAGCCAAAGTCTGGCCTTACTTTGAATTCTTCTTTTGTCACCACAAGTGATAACATTGAGGTTTACTCCTACCCATAAACAGCCCCCATTCCATGGGATTTATAATGAGGGAACTCAAAAATGACCCAAAGGGAATTACAGAAATTTTTAGAAGGCAATATGGAAAGACGTTACTACTTGTGTTCTGCGAAAGGAGAGAAGGACTCCTCCCCTTGTTCACTCTCAATGAATTCTCTCCCAATCCAGCCTACTCATGCCGAGTGCCACGTAGGCCTGTGTGGATGTGCACGATACCAGTTAAGGCTTCACTGCTTGCCTCTGAGTAATGGAAACCTTCTGTTTTTCAGGGGGAAATCATCTGAAACGAGCTGTTCCGAGTTACTAGTTACTATTTTGATACACTTCTCCAAGTTATAGATTTGATATATCATTTAATTTACAATTTAAGTTGCTTAAAAAGGTTTTATTATATGATATGATGGGCAGTGTAATGTCAGATATTTAAAAAAAAATAAATAAAAAGAAAACAAAACAGATATACAGCATTTGCATCTAAAAGTCACCGTTTGGTCAGTTACCCGGATGAGCGGCCATATTTTAGATACTCGGATGTAAACAACAGCATGGATTGCACTGCTAATGTAC